TTAGTAAATATAGACAATAATAAGAAAGTATGAATTTCGTTACCTCAGGATCATGTTTGATTTGATTGAGACGCGTTTCAATATAGTCGGTGAAATCTTTCGGACACTTGAATTTCCATTCAATCGGATATTCAGGATTCATGTTGAACATAGTGTTTCCATGGCATGGACTTATATTGGTTGGTAGTTGAGCCAATTTCACCTCAAGATTGACCAATCTATTGTTTAAATCTTCCAAAATAGCTTTGAGAGCAGATGGGAAATCTGTGAAGAAAAGAACGCGTTAGAAATATATAATAAATTTATATCAAGTGTAATTTACTTACTTTGTTCAAAATCATTGAGGTAGTCTTCCATTTTTAAAAGTAATAATTCACTGATAATAATAAATTGTAAAAATTAAACCCAAAAGATTTGTTCCAATTATACCGGAAAATAACAAAATTAAATTGAAATATGTAAGCTAATTTAGCGTGCACATGTTTTAAGTTGAGGGATCGTTTGTATATAAACATCGGATTCAAACGCCATGCTTGATTAATAGTTTGAGGTTACAGCATGGCCATGTTAATGCGGTGCCATTAACTTGATTCGGAATTAGTAGTATCTAATAAATTATTTTCCTCACTGTCAGTCGAAAACTCAGGTCCTAACCTTTGTCTCTTCCGCGAGGAAACAAGATCTTCAGGTATCTGAGTTGATGTTTCAGTTCCATCTGGCGGAAGATTTACTTTGCTACAAACTTCACTTGGAGAGTACCTTTTCCTTTTTCTTTCTCGACCGCTTTGATTAACAGGCCCTCGAACGAGAACTTCCCAATTTGTGGGATCGCTAAAGAATTCATGACCAAAAGAGAATAGAATGGCTATGTATTTGGTTAGTATATAACCCTGATCATGGCCATAGTAATAATTTACCTTTCAAAATGTCTTCTTCGACTTTGGGAATAACTTCTTGTCTTTCACCTTCTCTAGGTGCTCTCACTAATTTTCCATTATCTCCAAGAATATGAGTCTTAAGCTTTTCTCCGAATACCACTTGAGCGATAGAGATAGCAGTTTTGGAAGCTGATTTATTTGATTTGAGAAGCAACTTTCGGATCTCTTCCGTTTTTTCCTCATTCAATGAATCCCATGTCATGGTCTTGATACGTTTTCTCCACTAAAATTAATGTTAATAAATAATGATAAACACTTTCAGAGTAATTACCTTTGAGTCAGCTCGACATTCAGCCATGATGGATAAAGCCTGATCGGTGATATTAAGCGATTGATCTCTGTATTGGCGTGTTGGATTTTCCTCTAGTTTATCCTCAATCCGTGATAGTCTTTCACTAAAGTTTTTATTCATTGTTTCAAATTTGCTTGACAGTGACTCTAAATAACGTTTCATTGAGTTGAATCCGGAAGTTATCTCACAATTGTCCAAGGGATAATTATCCATTGAGTTTTGTACTCGTCTTGTAACTCGTTTCTCAACATGGCCATGATCAGAGCTTGCCTTTTTCTTAGACGTACTCATAATCAACGGGCCAGCAGTTATAAGTCTCAATTTACTCGTACATTTTGATTCATTATCATAGTAAACAATAATTACCGAAGCACAGATACCAGTAGGATCTGGCCATTCTTTACTATCCTTGATCGCTTTTCCTATTTCAGTTCGGTCCTTTGTAAAATAGATTGCAGGAATAATGCGAAAACCTTTATCCGCCCCATCGCAGTCTTTAACAATAACAGAAGCATCTTCAATTAAAATAGTGTAATCACTTTCAGAAGGAGAGGGAACAATTTCAGTCATTTTGAATCACTTTAAGAAAAAATTGCTTCTGAGATTTGCAATAAGTAAGCTGCTTTTTACATCAAGTTATTACTCAATACTTATTGGTTACAAAACATCTTCATTTCCTACTTCCTCAGTATGTAGTTTCCTTGGCATAGCCATGCTGTTTCAATTTATAACCTTCATGTTCAACATATGGAATTGTTAAGTGTATATGATAATTTTTTAGTGAACCAAATACATAATAAAGGACATGATAAGGAGTCGACTTTACCACCGAACGTCAGCAAAATCATATCTTCGCAAAAAGTGTAACAGAATAAATAATGTGACTTATGCTCAACAGCATGTTGAAACATCAGCTGAATCAAGTGACAATGACCGTGAATCAGTTGTCATAAATGATTTGCGTGATATTTCAAATGATGAAAGTGCCAGTCCAATGTCTGAAGCAGGCTCAGACTATGGCCATAACATCGATTTAGACGGGTCTTACTCATCAATAATCGTTAAAATTGCCAAAATATTTGACGAGATAAATGTTTCGGATGCAACTCAGCTTAAACTATATAATTTGTTCAGATACATTGGAATTGAAAAACTGTATCTTCCAGAATACAAGGATTATATGAAACAAGTATCTAACCTAACAAAAATAAGTGTAAAACGATATTTCTACTGCTCTAATTGTGATACATATGGCCACAGTATGAACACATGTCCATGCCAAGACCAACCTGATGACTTACATGTTTTTGATTTGAAAGAAACAATACAACTCGCAGTTAAATACAACCATGAGTACTTAACAAGATCTTTATATTGTTCGAAAGTAAACGAAGGTGATTTCTTCGGTTCTCTACATTACCAAAAAATATGGAGTGACAAAGAAGGATTAGATATGCTTAGATGTACTCTTATATTCAACATCGATGACGCATCATTTGTCAAGTCAAATCGTGTTTCATCAACTCCCATTTCATTTATCATAGCAGAATTGCCGTTGCATAGACGCTACTGTAAACAAAATGTGTTCCTAGCTGGTTTATGGTGGGGCCATACCAAGGCTAATTATCAGAAAATATGGCAAATCTGTGTTGCTCAGCAGTTAGAATCTCTTGAAGTTAACGGATTTGGAGTGGAATTACATGGACAGGTTGTAAATTGTGCAGTGAAAATTGGTGCCATTGTTGCAGATTCAGTTGCTAAACCTAAGTTGATGAACATAGTTCAATTCAATGGAAGCTATGGGTGTCCATACTGCTTACATCCTGGTGAGTCAGCAAGGACATCCAGAGGAGGATCAACTATGACTTATCCATGGAATGGACATGAATTTGATATGAAGACTCAAGAATTCTATAACGATGCAGCTGGACAAGCAATGCGTCTGCAGCGTAGCTACATGGGCGTAAAAGGGCCTTGCACACTCAGTAATCTAACGGGTTTTCCTTTCAATTTCCCAGTAGATTACATGCACAGTGTATTGGAAGGAGTTTTTAAAACATTAATGAATCAAAAGCCGTTCAATCTACAAGCATCAATGACAAGAATAGATACGGTGGGAAAAAAAGTTGTCTTGCCACATGAATTTTCCCGAAAATTCAGAAAGTTAGCTGATCTGACTTACTGGAAAGCGAATGAATGCAGAACTTTTCTACTCTATCTCACACCGTTAATAAGAGATTTGATAGATGCAGACAGCTTTTGCCTTATCATGGCCTTATCAGTTTCATTGCGAATACTGATAAAACCAAAGCTTTGCAATGCCGAAATAGACATTTCTTTGGACCTCATTCAAATCTTTTTAACTAGCTACGAAAACATATATGGCAGTGAATCGATGCGATTTAATATTCATCTTTTGATTCATCTGGTAACTCAAGCAAAGATGATGGGCTCACTATCAAACGTATCGAGTTTTGTTTTTGAAAATAATATTTTCACTATAAAGCAGAGATTTCATGGAAATCGAGGACAGAATTCCCAGATGGCGGAAAGATATCTTATTACTAAATCATTAAACACCATTGGGGAAGCCTTGCAATGGCCATGTTCGGGTCAAAGATCCCATGATCATGATAATCTACATGGACAATATCATCTAATTGGAAAGCCTGATTTACTTGGCGTTCGTGATGATAGCATCAAAAAATTGCTAAAATCAAGACATGGCTTGTTCAACGCAAGTGATTGCAAAGTCTTTGGTAGAGTGAAAAAAGCACACATTATTTATCACTCACTTGCTTATAAATATCGACGTAAATCTGCTAGCTTCTACTTTTTCTACTCTGACAATCAATCCCAAGAACGCAGATACGGTGAAATACAATATTTCGTTCTATGTCCAGAAAGAATAACACAATATGGCCATGATATGATATATGTTGTTTATAAAGAGTTTCAGGCATATAGCAAGCAGTCAATTTTTACAGGATTGGAAAATTTAAAACACCCTTCTCTCAAGATGGTTCCTAATATTGTCAAAACTTCACAAATATTTCACAAAGTAAAGGCAACACAAAAACTTAATATCATGGATCTAGCTAAAGTTGAAGGCAAAGCTATTCTAATCCTTGATAGCAACTTTGTTAATATTTACTATGCAACCGCAATAGACGCTGCATTTGAACATGATTGAAATAATACTTTCATAACATGAACATACTTAGCTTACATCTTGACTCAATTTTGTTAAGAACTTGCCATCTAGTGAAAATGTATCTCTATTTTGCTATGCCCTTATCTTACTCAATTTTTATCTCAATCGGTCAAAAAAAGCTGCTATGTAACCATCAAGGAATGAATTGACGCTTTGAATAGCTTGTACGTACTAAAAACATTAGGATTGCATAGCATGGAAGTGTTAAGGTCTGATTAAATAATTTATTTATAAATCTTGGGCTTTCCAGCCAAATTTCATGACAATTACTTGATTTAACGTGGTTTTAGTATTCTTTCTGAATGGAAATGTCAAGCAAATGGCTCGAGAAGGGCCTTGTCAAAGCTTTGCTTCATATTTCAACCCGGGATGAAATTTACAAATAACAGACTTAACGTAGATCTATATATATCTAACTTATCTTTTCACCGTGATTTCAATATTTATTGTTTGAAAATAGTTTTATTCATTGGTGAGTCATGTTGGACAATCGATACAATACAAGTGCATGTACTGTGCAGAGTGAATGTGTCATGAAATAGAGTATAAAAAGCGATGAAATGAAACACATTAGCATTAGTTATTCTACAAGTTTCATTAACAAACATTCATTCAATTTTTCGTGCAGAAACTATTATAATATGAAAATGATCGCCACTCTCATCCTGGTCTTTGCTATTGCTTCTTCAACTCTTGCTCAATGCCCAGTTCCTCCAACTGTCCCTGTCTCTGATGTTGCCAAAGTACGTTTATAATTATTTAATAAATTTAGCCAATACTTTAAACTGCATCCATTAATTTGGTGTTTCATTGTTTAGATTGCCGGCCGATGGTATCAAATTGCTGGACCAACTTTTTCTGGAACCGAAAATCAACCAAAATGTGTTACCGCGGATTTCACTCCAAAAAAGGATGGAAACTTCAATCTTACAATGAACGCAACTGATCCAGAGTAAGTAGACACAATCAATTGAGTTTAATTGTTTGTAATGCAAATTATTAATCCATCGTCTAGTGGCTCAAAGAATTCTGGTGTTGGTTTAGTCGAACGTACTGATAATCAGAATTTACTTAAACTTCACACATCACCATACAGTAAGTAGTTTTGTCTGCTTTACTTTCATCATTTGTATCATACATTCGTTAATTTAACAATAGATGTGAATAAGAGCATCATTTTTCATTGCAATCAATAATGATTTTGATTATTATTTTCATATTTACAGCTACGTCATCTTCAATTAACGTCTATTTGGTCGATACTGATTTCGATAATTATCTAGCTGCTTATATTTGCTTCCTTGATCCTTCTCAATCTCCAGTTCGTAAGTATTATATCTCTCAATTTGATAAACTCAATGATTATGCAAATCGATTCGACTGATGATAATTCAACTTTCATTATTATCACAGAAACTGGTGTCATCTTATCCAGGGCTAACACCGTGGATGCTGAAAAGTATGCTGAACTGACCGATTTGTTGATTAATAAAGCTGGTGTCTCTACCGATTACTTCATAGCAACAAACCAAAAAGACTGCCAATATTGATTGACCAGTTTATTAAAAAATGATGCCCAATGCTGATACAAATCCAATTTACAATGCAATAATTGATTACTTTAAAATAAACAATTAATACCTTAAATAAATATATATTTCATTGCATAATCAAAGAATGTCATAAATACTGTAAGCACCAAAATGTAGAAAGTGAAGGGTCAAATAGAGGAACAAATAGCCAAATCTTACGTGTTTTGAGTTTTAACAAAGGAAGTAAGCGAGGTCATTCTAATAAAAATTTATCATAAAACAATTAGTTTTATGAGTGTTTAATTGTCTCGAAATCTTTCGGTTAGCAAATCAAAGATAAACTAGAATTTCAATTTTTACATATGAAGCATTGTAAGACACAAAACAAAGTGTAGCAAGAGGCCTCGCGGGATATTATAGCTTTCCCATCGATCTATACATACCGATCGACAATAAATAACTTATACGCTAATGAAAAGACGACGAACTATATTGTCTGTTAACGAGAAGAAATCAATGACACACTAAACATTGAAATCGGTTCGCGTTGAAACCAGGAATACATAATTTACTTTTCAAATGAATTTTATTGAAGACTCAAGATGATAATATCATGCTTTTCGTTCACCTTATGGTGGATAGACACATAAAACGATAAAATCATAGTTTAGTTAATATTTTCTTTAAGATGAGTGACAGTCAATAAGTTTTTGATATCGTCGACCGAGATTTGTTTGTTAGTTCCAAAGAATACTTCTTTAGATGAGTCAAGCATGTTGAATCCATTAGTTGAGAAGACTCCATCAATTCCAGATCCTACCTTGAAATCAAGCCAAACGAATAAAGCTGGATAATCGGTGGATAAATTGATTTTATAAATGTTTGAATAACTGCTGAGTGATTTTTTGCCAGCATCGCTGTCGTCTTTTGAAACATCATTGATCTTAATGTTACTTTGTTTAAGGTTCAATTCCTTGGGCTTGGCCAATAGAAGGAAATTTTCACCAGAATTGAAATCAGCTACTGATGATTGGACAGTGTTGTATTTAAGTTCAACAACACAGTTCTTCAAATCAGAACTAACAGCTTCACTCAATTTTTTATCATAAACCACGGTGGCTTTGAAACTACATAGAGAATAGCAAAAAAAATGAAATCAATTGACTTGAATAGATTTGATGATAAACAATTTACCTGTCAACATCATTAGTTTGGTCTGCAATTGTTTGTTTGTTGAATGAATCAAGTTGATGAACATTAATAGTAACGGCAACGTTGACTTTACCAGAAACATCGTTATTAATAACAGCTTTCAATTGATCATTTTCTGTATAAAGTTGTCCAAATACAGGCTTGTATGAATCTCTGAGGAAATATTGAGCCATCTTCCATTTAGCAGTTCCAAATTCAATGGTTGACCAACCAGAAGCAACCCAAATATCATTGAAGATCCAATACATGGCACCCCAAGTAAACCCAGATCCATCAGCAGTATTGATTTCACGATTTCGAAGGAAAAATTCCATTTCACGCTTATTAGCAACAGCTTGAAGAATTTGAGATAAATAAGTCATCTTGAGATAACCATTTTTACCAGTTTCAGTTGGTTTTCCCATATAATAGTCAACCATTGTCTCAATTTCCTTAAGACGATCACCACTAGCTCGATGCTCTAACCATCCACTGAAAGGATAGACAAGCTCGGATTCGGGAACTGATGTAGCATACGATTCATAAGATGGCAATGATTCGAAACCAAATTCTGAGATGAATCGAGCAGCAGGGTAATTCTTTTGTTCCCAAGCATCAGCTTCATGGTAATAGAAGTGAATATCACCATAGAAATGATCATCAGCGTTACTCGAGAAACCTCCATTTTGTTCAGTGAAAGCTCCATTGGATGGACTTGAAACAACATATGGACGAGTGGTGTCATATTTAAAAACAATTGTTTTTATGGTTTCTGTGTACAACTTCTTAAAGTCTTCAACATAGGTTGAGTATTTATCTTCCAATCTGGGCCACCACCAATGTGTACCAATGGCCAATTCATTTTCGTTGCTTCCAGACCAGATAGCAATACTTGGATGATGAGCCAATCTGGTAACTTGTTGTTCAACTTCAACCTTAACATTATCCAAAAACTCTGGATCAGTAGGATAAGTAGCACAAACAAACATGAAATCTTGCCATATAAGAAGACCCATTTCATCAGCTAAATCGTAAAAGTAATCAGTTTGATAGATTCCTCCACCCCAGATACGAAGCATGTTTTGTTGAGAGTCAACAGCGGCTTGTAAAGTCTTCTTAACGTAATCCTTGTCTCGGTTTTCATTCTCAGTGTGGACTGATGTTGGGTAGAAGTTAGATCCCTTGATATAGAAAGGTTCTCCATTTACTTCGAATCGGAATGAAAGTCCAGGGTAATCTTTTCCATCTACCTTTGGAATCTCTTGGATCAATTTAATTTCCCTGAATCCAGTTCTTTTTACCATTGATTGTTGCTTAGATCCATCTGATGGCTTAAGAGTAACTTTAACATTGTACAAGGTACGAGGTCGAGCTACAATTTGATTGTTTTGCACATATGTAGCTCCATTTGGCCACCATTTACCAACACGAGATTTTTCAACAGGAATGCTAGAAATACGATAAGTATCGGTAGATGAATCAGTATTGATGGATCCACTGTAAATAGTCAACTCCTTTTCGTAGTTGGGATCATTAGTTGAAAGGGTAACTTCAACATTGACTTGTTTACCAGACTCTGGTCGAGATAAAGCTAAACTCAAGTCAACAGACCATTTATTTTCATCTAATGATGTAATTGTAGTCCAGAAGTTTTCCAATTTATTTGTGGATTCGATAATCTCAATTTCAACAGGCAAGTAAATACCACTGGTACGGAAAGCAGGTCCCCATCCCCACATCATCTTTCGGATAAAGCTAGCATGACATTCACCATAATCTGAACCATCAGGGAAACATTGAGGAACCATATCGTAACCATATTGACCCTTGAATTTATTGTATTGCTCTTGAGCATAAGCGTAGGGATTGTATACCTCAATCTTGATACTGTTTGAGCCAGCCTTTAGTTTATCATTAACCTTGAATCGATATCGTCTGAACATATTGTTGGTGTCCCCAACAACTTGATCATTGATGTAGACCTTTGAAACAGTGTCAATACCATGAGCAACGAGGTAAATTTCATTGGAAGATTTAAGATCATCACTGCTGACTATAAGTAAAGATAGAGGAAAAGTAACGAAAGGTAATTCATTGAAAAAGCTAACCGTTTCATTGTACTTACCATCGAAATTTCTTGTCCATGTCCACAATTTCTTGGACCAAACACGTTGGTTGTAATCATCATAACCATAGTTTGGATCACCAATGATTCCATGATCAACAAGCTCTGTATACAATCCACCAGGAACAGTAGCGCCATCGATTACATCTAAAAAAGACCGTTAAAAGAGTTAACCAGAGCTGATTAGCGGTAAAATTTAATGTTTCATTACTTACATTGTCCAGAATCATCTTTTAGATTCCAATCACTAGAATTCAAGGAAATAATTTTTCCCGAACATTGGAAAATTGAATTAACAATAATCAAACAAATAAGTCCGATCATGATTAACTTTTTTGTAACTTGTATCTACCAATATAACTTGGTATTATGATTAGAATCATGATTTTGTTCGAGCTTTTAAATACTAGATATCGAGTAAGAAGTAGATACAAATGCTACAAAAATTACAAAAAATACAAAAATGTCAATCTTTCCAATCATTTTACAAAAAGTCAAAAATAACTTTTATAACTCGAATCATTTTAATAAAACAATAAACATGCATGAATGGCGATGAAATGTTCATTGTAATACATCTTGAACAAAACAATTTTCATTCAATCATCAAAAATAAAAATTGATAACAGCAATGTGTTGATGAAACATTGACAGACTAAAGTCGTCACCACACTGCCTATTGGATGTATTACAATTTGTTGATCATTTGTGCAGAAATGTCAACCATAAGGTCTGTGACTTAATTTGATGCTTACGATAATCGTTAGTTAAATTGTGTTGAAAGTTTCATCAGGCAAGGATGGCATGAAAAAATTATATTTTTTGTGTTTCATTGTTTTCTTTGACTAACCTTGAAGATCAATTGACGCAAGTGAGGATATTTTTTTTATTCATTCAAACTTTTTATTATTTTCAAATCGGTGAAATATATAATAAATCGAACCAATGATGGCTATAGGCTGTTTAAAGCATTTTTGAACACGGTTTTGACAATTTTGTCATTCTTTTGCCAGTATAATTATGTTAAATACTCAATTTTTAGTTTATTTGTTGCAGATTAAAAACTTAATCCTTCTGATAAAGATCTAGAACTAACAATCGCGTTGAAGGCTGACATTCAGGCTTTAATAAAGCAATCGACAAATTCAAATATTTAACTATTCATTGAAGCTTCAGTTAAGCAACAGTAGGATTGAGATGTCCGGGTCTGGGACGAATAAATTAAAGACAATTTTTATATAAAAAATAAGCTTTTTTATTGTTTTTTTTTGCTTAAATGAGTTCTTTTTTACAAATGGCAGCTCTGCTCGAGCTCTCGTGCTCGGGCTTCAGCCCATCGATTATTTCGTGCTAGGAATTCCTCTTGAGGCCTCCAAAATGCTTATCGCATTTTAAGTCAATCTTTTCAAAAAAGAATCAATGCCATTTCTTTCGGCCATAAGTTCGTTTTTTTCTTCTTCTAAAATTGCTATTTCAGCATTTTTTGTTTCTATTTCTTTATTTAGATTGTTATCCAGTAGATTTCCCACCCTGTTATGTGTTCCTTCAAAAATTTTCGACAACTCCTCAATTTCTTGTACTAGTTCTAATCTATCTTCTTTGGCTTTTTTTATATATTTCTTTCTGAACGGCATATTTCTCTTTGTACATCTTTGCACTTTCTATCTTTTCTTTCGCGGTGTTCACTGTTCTCTTAAGCCAATATGGGACCTCAATGTCTTTGGATCCCACGAAAGATAATATTCTATCTAAGGCGGCAGTCAGAGGTATCGAATCTCTTTAGCAATAAACAAATAAATAATTAGATAAAAAGAAATAAACTTCAATTAAATTAAATCCTCACCTTGAATTTGGCATAGTGATTGTGGAAATGGAAATTGTTTCCAATTATTTGTCGCAGACCCGGCAAGATGGTGTCCCAAACCCGGACATCTCAATACTACCAGCAACAAAATGATTATGAAATCCAAATTCTGATGTCAGAACATGGAACAAGACCATTTAAAAACCAAAAATATGAGCCCTGTTCGGCTCACTAGTGAGTTATAATTGTATTGAACAAGTGTTAGAGACGACACAATTCGTTCGTCTGCAACGTGTTTTAATCAAGAAAAAAGTGTATTTTATACATGACACAGCTATGATAAATCTGTGCTTCGCTTTGTTGATTAATCAAATCAGAAGATTCATTTGGCCTTTCAAATTCTACATGTCAAGTGTGTTTAGCATCACCTATTGAGTTGATTTGTAGCCTTAGCATATTGTTTTGAAACATGATGCCAGTCTACTTTAACCATGATTAACAGATTCGTAACCACGGAATGACCAAGATCTAATTTCACAAATTACAACACTTTATCTCACAAGGGATGTCCAAGGTCTGATCAATCGATATCGAGCATTCATTGTTAGCTATCGGTAGATTAGACCTTCTCGAAGACCAATAAAGCGAAATTAGCTGCCCACTTTTCGATTTCGGCATTTTATCGTTTTTTTCTAGAAAAATTTGTATGCTTTTCTATGAGGGTTTGTATTTGTTTTTTATTAAAGTGAACTTTTTATTGCACAACAATAACATTTATTGGATGCATCTTATAAAACAAATCTGAGCGGGCGAATGATCTTGGTGAATGGAATATCGATCACTGCGTTGAGTCGCGTATAGAGTCAGATTGCTTGAGAGTACAATCCATATTACGAGGTAAACTCCTCCTAAGACTAAATACGATGGTAATATCGATAGCAAACAAGTACCGTGAGGGAAAGTTGCAAAGTACTTTGAAGAGAGAGTTCAAAGGACGTGAAACCGCTTGTAGAGAACGGATAGACACGAAGTGTAGCTGAGAGGAGACTCAGCTCTCTGGATGTGGCTTTTTCTATTCAGTGCTAAGAATGCTTTACAG